CCCTATTAACCTTCCAACCAGTTGTTAATACCCAAACCACCTCTCCAGAAACTATTGGGGTTATAGGGACCTGGGTCTTTGACCAAACCCTAATCAGGAGAGCTCTTGCAGAAATGTTAATAATTGATGAGCTTTCTTTTAGGTTTGTTGAGAGGCAGGGGTTTAGAAAGTTTGTCTCTGTAGCATGTCCAAGGTTTGTTGTCCCTTCTAGGTGGACTATTGCTAGGGACATTTACCAAATATATCTAGATGAAAAGCTGAGCCTGAAAAGGTTGTTCAAAGAGACCACCCAAAGGGTCAGTATAACCACTGACACATGGACCTCTATTCAGAGGATCAACTACATGTGTATTACTGCCCATTTCATAGATAGTCAGTGGAAGCTACAGAAGAAGGTGATTTCATTTGTGCAAGTGTCTTCCCACAAAGGGGAGTACCTTGCCAAGGCCCTAGAAAATTGCTTATCAGAGTGGGGATTGAAGAATATATTCTCTGTGACTGTTGATAATGCTAGCAGTAATGATACTGCAATAGGATTTTTAAAGAAAAAATTTCTGTCATGGGGTGCTTCTCCTGTCAGAGTGAAATACCTACACATGAGATGTATTGCCCACATCTTGAATCTGGCAGTCCAAGATGGGTTGAAGGATGCTGATACATCTGTAGTGAGGGTTAGGGAAGCAGTGAAGTATGTTAGGAACTCTCCTTCTAGGCTCAAAAAATTCAAGGATATATCTGATTTGATAGGAGCAGAGTCCAAATGTGGCCTACACCTAGATGTTCCTACTAGGTGGAACTCCACCTATCTGATGTTAAAGTCAGCATTATCCAATGAAAGAGTTTTTGAAGCATATGAGGAGAATGAGAGTTGTTATGGGTCTGATTTAGGTACAGAAGTGCCTGATATTGGTGATTGGGTGAATTGTGAATCCGTAGTGTCAGTTCTTGAGAGTTTTTATGAAATGACCCTAAGGATTTCTGGCTCTTTGTATGTTACTTCCAATATTTTCTTCTCTGAAATTTCTGATTTGTTTCTGGTGCTTCAAGACATGATGAAGTCTCCCAAGGCTTCCACAAGTAAAATGGGCTCTACTATGAAATCCAAACTGGACAAATATTGGGGAGACCCAGAGAAAATGAATTTTCTGATCTTTTTTGCAAATGTGCTTGACCCAAGGGACAAGTTTGAATACATGCCTTTTCAACTGAATGCCCTTTATACATAACCAAAGGGTGTGAAGTTCTTTGAAAGTATCAAGCTTGCTTTGCATGAGTTATATAATGATTATGTGTCCAACTACTCTGATTCTGGTACTGGAAGCATGATTTCAAGCTCAACTCCCTCTCAAACACAATTAGAGACTGTGTCTGCAAGACCTATCTCCAAATTGAAAGCCCAGCTAAAAAAACAGAAGTTTGAGAATGGGCAGTTGGGTTTGAAACAAAGTGAGTTGGAACTGTACTTGAGTGAGCCCATAATTGAAGATGATACAGATTTTGACATCTTAAGGTGGTGGAAGTTAAATAGTGAGAGGTTTCCTATCCTCTCAAAAATGGCTAGAGATATTCTTGCTGTTCCAATCTCTACTGTTGCTTCTGAGTCCACTTTTAGTACTAGTGGTAGAGTGTTGGACTGTTTCAGAAGTTCATTAAGTCCAAAAATTGTGGAAGCTTTAATCTGTACCCAAGATTGGCTAAGAAATCAAAGCCACCCTATCTCAGTTGAAGAAAATATAGATGAAGTGCAAAGGCTAGAAACAGGTCAATTTAAACTTCTTCATTTTTGTTTTACATTTTATGTACTTCATATGTTTTCTTTGATATTAAACATGCTGGTTTGTTAATTTTTTTTGCAGAATTAATTGATGGTAGTGTTAATGGTGGTCCTGATGGCTATGTTGGTGGATCTTTGCAGGATCCTATTGCAGTAAAAATACTGCTTTTTTTACTTATTTATTGTTGAGCATTATATATGACTGATTTTGTTGGCAGATTTGATTGTGAATCACTGAATTGTACATGAATGATGGAAGCAGTAAACATAGTTAAGACTGGTAACAAAAGCTTATTGCCCATTTGCCCCTTGTGAAGTTATAATGAATGGTAACACAAGCTTATTCTACTTTAATCATTTAAATCATTTCTTGATTGATGGGTTAATGGCTATGATGAAGCTTCCACAATAAACTGATTTTGTATGGGTTGGTGTTGTTTTAAGTGATGGCTAGGTAACTATAGTTGCCGCCATTTACTTCAAATCTGTATGCCCCCATATAAATTTTGAATGTGAAAATAAGCTACCTGAGCCTATGCCCCTTGTGAACTGTGTAATGGTAATACATCTATACCTGTTTATTCTCCCTTTATCATTTCAATCATTTTCTTGGCTATGATGAAGCTTCCACAACAAACTGATTTGTCGTGGGTTGGTGTTCTGCTAAGTTATGGCTAGGTAACTATAGTTGCCGTCATTTACTTGATATAATATGCCCCCATACAAAATATGAACAGAAAATAAGCAATCTGAGCCAATATTTATGCATCAGTGTGATAATCTTGTTTTAAACAATACTATTTGTTTAGATGTTTGACATACTTGTATTTTTATAGGTTCAAGTTTGAAGGCAGTATGAAGAAGTGCAGACCTGAAGAAGGAATTGAATGGGATTGGCTGCTTGCGAAGTGTTTTTGTATTTTTGCTTTTATTACTTTGCATGTCAAAAACTTGTATAATTGCACAATTGGAAATCTGGTACTGTGGTACAGATTGTATATTTTGTTATGTGTTACTTGTTAAACATTAAAACTTGGTTAGCCATTAGCCAACTTATCAGGTTATGAACTTGTATGTTCATAAAAACTGTTAATTTATGAACTGGGTCTGGGAAATCCCCTTATATTGTGTAATTTCTGTTTATCCTATATAAATTTCAACCAGTTGTGAAAAGAAATTAAGTTTTAGTAGTTAAGTAATATTTTTTGGATATCCGAAATATCCGATATCCGACCCATACCCGAAAGCAACCGAACTTCAAAATATCCGAAATTTTTACACTTAAATATTTATGGGTAGGGTTACAAAATTTAACCCCGATACCCGAACGGGTTTACGATTTAAGAACCCGACCCGCCCGAACCCGACCCGTGCTCTCCCCTACTTGTGGTAAATCTAGAGCGACAATTATCTAGACATCCAGCCCAATCAGCATCAGAATAAGAAACAATTGTGCAGTCGCAGTTATAAGCCATGCGTGGATGTTCCCTACAAGTACCTGTAAATTCACTAACAGCCAAAAAAGAGAGGTACGTCGAGCACGCATAAACTGAGAGACCAGATGAACGACATAAGTAATATCAAGTTTAGTTATAGTCGAATACCGTAATGCACCTACCATGCTGCGATCGATCGAGTAGTTTTGAACAGCATTTTTGGTGTTTTTCAGGACATAAGGTGCGTAGAGAAGCGGAAGGGACCTAGCGACGGGCTAGCGTTTCGATTTGGCCGCGAAGCTCTCTTCGCGCAGCTTTCTTCCACGGCAGTCCTACGGCAGTGGCTTCGTCCGCTTTAGGTGAGAACTCACGCCGAAGACTCACCCTCCAAACCAGAAGTCTTCGAGAATCGGGGCGATTCACACCGCTTTTGTTGGGTGATTCCACTCCGGTGGCCAAGGCGGCGTTCCTGTGGTGCGATGGGAGCAATCATTGTTTTCAACGGTGGTCGTGAACTAGTGGTGGTTAGCATTGGGAGGGCTAATTGCCATATGCTTGTTTTGGTGGTGTTGGCTTTGTTGATGCTAGGGATGAATGCTACACCAGTTGTGTTTGATCCGGGTGGAACAATGTCGGTTTGGTTTTTGTTGGAAGGGGCGAATTTGAAGTCCATCAAGGTGGGTGAGGAATTGGCGAGTATGATCCAGCCGTCTCAGGTGGTGGAGGAAGAAGATGAAATGAGGAAGCTTTGTCCCCCTCCTGAGTCGCCGCCATCGAAGAAGTGCTTAACTAGGCTCTGGAATATGGTGCTTGGAAAACGGTGTCCACTGTTCTACAAGCTAAAGTTTGGAGGGATAAATAAGGCAGGAAGCCATGAAGACTTTAATTATTTCTATATTTTTTCCTTTTCGATTGCTCATGTTGCTTTTACTTTCGTTATGACCTCTAGATGTAGGTTGGTAGCTTGGTTTTTATATTTTACTCAGGATGTGATGTGGGTGGAAGCGATAAGGCTTGTTAGGCCATTAAAAGATTCGAAGCTCTCACATGGTTCGCGAATAGTCTCGCTCCTTTCGGGATGGTCTATTCTATGTCTAGCAGAGAGTGCGAGAGCCTTTTGGCTATGCGGAGCCTCATGAGGAGGTTTGGCGATGTATGTTGGGAAGATCGTTGGAATTTGCGTTGATATAATATAATCAGTTTCCTTAAAAAAAGCAAAATCAATTCCAAACACCCCTTATTTTGATTATTACACAATTCAGCGCGTGAAATCAAAAGTAATGTGTCACATTCATCAAATCCATTGAACTAGAGGTGGATGTCATGCAGTTCAAAGCTCTTCAATTGAATACCAGAAAAAGAAACTAATGCATTACCAAAATGCAGTTTAGCAAAATACTTCTTCTCCATCAACATTTTGATAAATTTGGGGATTTTTTCTATGACCTATTTTTTGTTTGACAAAGATAAATGTGTAGTGTTATTGCACACAACAATGCTTTTGTTTAAAACTTTAATTGTAAACTAATTTTGGACATCCAAAACAAAAATGCTAGATCTGCCACAACACCGAAAGAGCTCTAACAAAGAATACTAGAGTTATTCTAGAGCATAACGTTATATTATCGAGTATATTTCATAACATGCATCACATTGCAATATAAACAAAATGCATTGGTTATTCATTCAAAAACCACATTATATGAATTGGATATCAATTGTTTCCGAAGTACAATACGGTAGTTCATGTACTACCACTAACTTACTTAAAATTCGAGATCAAACTGGTCGACTCTGTGGAATAGTCGAATGACATATCTGTTTCATCGTTGACCCATGCTTCTATAGGTTCTGAAACAGCTCTAGGAGGCAACTGCAGACCGTCCACGTCACCATTAAGCATGTCAACAACTTTGTTCATGGATGGTCGGTTACAAGGATTCATCTCAATACACCATAACCCCACCATAACCATCTTTTTAGCTATTTTATTTTCCTCCTCTGTAGTACCTCCAATCTCTCCATTTCTTCCCTCAGATACTTGGTTGTAAACCCATTCTGGGAAGTACTGGCTTGAATCGTTTGTTGATATATTCAATTTATTCCGCTTTCCAGCCATATCTAATACTAGCATCCCGAAGCTATAAACGTCTGCTTTGTACGAGACACGTCCAATATTCTTGTAGAACAGTTCTGGTGCCATGTATCCAATAGTCCCCCTAGCTGCAGTCAAAGTTGCAATGGTGTTGTTTGCCTTCGAGTACAACCTTGCGAGACCAAAATCAGATACTTTTGGGGTGAAATTTTCATCAAGGAGAATGTTATGGGGCTTGATATCAAAATGAAGTATTTGCATATCACAGCCTTGATGTAGATACTGAATGCCACGAGCAACCCCTACAGAGATCCGAAACATTTCCTCCCAAGACATTGTCGAGGTCAATCCTTCTTGAGACAACAAATATTTATCAAGAGCCATTTGGCATGAACTCATACACAAGAGCCCGCTTACACCCCACCACACAAAAACCAATCAGTTGCACCACATTTACATGATGAATTCTTTCAATGGTTGCAACTTCGCTAATGAAATCTTCTCCGTTACCTTTCGAGTTCAATAACATTTTTACAGCAGCAAAATGACCACTACGGAGCTTTCCTTTATATACTGCACCGAAGCCTCCTTTTCCTAACATCTCCTTAAACCCCCCTGTCATCTTCTTAATCTCGGAGTAAGAATACCTTATAGGCATGAGGTTGTTATGGTTCTTCAGGAAGTCTTCTACTTTGTCGTAAGCTGATAAATGTCTCCTTCGCCATGTGTAGATCAGCAATGCAATCATAAATGGAGCCCCTATTGATGCCTTTGCTGCTTGAAGGAGACCTATGTATGAAATCAATCACCAGAACGTACTATTATACTACTAACTATAAGAAGATACATAATTTACAATTTAGCTTATTTGTTTGTGTACTTTAGAAGGTAGACTAGAAATCTAAGGATACAGAAAGTTAGTGCTTACAGATCAGATAGATTATATCCAAACCGGATCCTGCAGACAATGTTGAAACCAGTTGATAAGATTTTACATACTTTGGTATCATGGTATGAGAAAGGTAGAATGTGCTATACTTGACTAAACCAGAGAATATCAAAGGCCTACCCTTTAAAGTATACAATATTTGGATGACAACAGCGCGAACTTTTCTAGCATCTTCATTGGCCGGAGAGAAAAAAAGAACAGTTCAGGAGCAGAAGTATGAATAATTGAAATAAGATTAGGCAAATATGCTTAAGAGCATAACGAGTCAGGAATGTCAGCAATTAAATAGCAATAATGAAGGCAGATCAATTTCTTTGGCTGATTCATTTGAATGATACTGTGATGAATGCCATAAAATTTGAGTCCCCAAAGGAAACCTCCTAGCATATATACTCACCAACTTGCCTGCATGAACCGTGATTAATCCTCAAGAAGTGGTAAATTTCACACATATACACATAATGTGCAGGGGCAGCTGTTATCACAAAAAGGTAACACAAGGGGGATATAAGAAAAACATAAAAAATATAATTTGAGTAGTGTATCTCTTCAAATTGAACATTCCTGTACTTTCCTGCACGATCCCAGTAGAGTTCAAAGCCAGAAAAGAGATCTTGATGAATCTCTTCATACGACGTATAGTTTCGTCCTGCTGGTACCAAAACTGACTTCACTATGCTGCAACCAACCTGCAAATCCCCTAAACCCGTTTTTCTGGCAGGAGCTAGGTACGAATAATTTCCGCTGCTAAAGCAAGGAGAAGTGTCAATGAAAGATGGGGAATTCAATGGAATCGGGCAGCTCACTAAGACCATAGTGTCTGTCAGGTATTCATAACGGCCGCTGAGAGGAGAAATTGGGAAGGAGGAGCAATCGTCTTCACGAACACCGACATCGGACACTCTGATTGTGAGGGCGGTGTAATTGATTGAGCGGACATTGTACTTGCCGGAGTTGAAATGGAGCACTGTAGCATTATTGTTTTCACAGAACAGGGTAAATCTCTCGTCTCCGCAGTGTTTAGGGTCGGTACTGAGCCGGAAAGGGTAACTGATGTTGCGGATATCGCCACATGAAGAAGGGGCGCAGGTTTTTCCTTCGCTCAGGTGGAAGAGATTCAGGAACACAGCAGCAAACATAAAAATCATGCTGGTGCTGTGAGCGTGAAGAGAAGAAGAAGACGAAGAAGAAGAAGATGATGGCGCCATCGAATTGGAGATGAAAATGGACTCTCTTTTAGATTGGATATATCACCGTCGTCTCCGAACACAGCCATGACTTTGCAACTTGCAAGACTTCGGTTTTGCTCCTCTTTTTTAAACTTAGTAATTTAGAGATTAAACAAAATACATTAGTAGTCAATTTTGGTATGCAAGGCGATAGTCAAATTTGGAACGCTTTCCTCTTCAGAGTTCTATGCAAGAGCAATACGTAGCGTATAATCCCTCTTTCAAAATTTCTTTTGATATTTTTGTTGAATACACATCAACTCTTTTTGCTTTGAGTCAATAGTTTATTTTTGTTGAATACACATCAACTCTTTTTGCTTTGAGTCAATAGTTCAAATACTCTCTGGGATTGTATTGTGCTAAAAAAAAATTATCAAAAAAGTAGACTCAAAAGGCTCATAAACGGGTTTGATCGGACGACAGGTCTGGTCAAGCTGGCCTAATAAGAAGTGTTCTCTTATCATATTATATAGGGAAAGTTCATGAAATACACTAAAACAGTTTGAAAATTTCAAAATAAGACTGTCATGTTTTTTATTCCCAAAGTAAGAGTAATTACTGCCAAGTTTGGAAAATACTGCCATGTTTGAAGTCTGGTACTGCCAAAACATGGCAGTAATTAGTCCTATTCTGGGAATAAAAACATGTCAGTCCTATTTTGGAATTTTGAAATCTTTTTAATCCTATTTCGGGTAATATCCCTATTTTGTATACATGTATAAATTCTAAAATATTTTACACACACATATAAATACATGTACTAAAATTTTAAAAGACTGAAAACATATAAAGTACTAGAGAGAATTTCCTAAATAGGAGTAAAAACGTTTTGAAATTCCAAAATAGGACTATTATGTTTTTTATTCCCTGAATAGTACGGAGTAGTAAATTTCTGCCAAATTTGGCATTACTAAGCTTTAAACATAACATTTTTTTTCAAACTTGGTAGATTACTCCTATTCAGGGAATAAAAAACATGATACTCCTATTTTGGAATTTCAAAACGTTTTTACTCCTATGTAGGACAATTTCTGAAAGCACTATAATAAATATTTTATTCTATTAATAAATCATATGCCGTTTAATGTTTTTTTTTACTCCAAGGGAGTCTAGGGGAGGGGGCTGGGGGGCCTGGAGTAATCAGGCCTGAAACTCACTCCATTGAGTTTCGAACCCTTATGTGCCTAGCAGGTTTTGAACTCGAGACATCTCCCTAGGCACGGTAACCTCACAAACAGCTAAGCTGGAATGCTTGGTTTGCGCGCTTTAATGTAATTTCATATTACCCAAACATTTTTTTCAGCTCATTTTGACAAACGAGGTTACTTCATTCAGCTAACGATTCAGGTTCAACACTTCAAAGTGAGACAATAATCTTTTCTTCACGCAATAACCCTTAATTAAGACATTAGTCAGACATTAGTCTCCTTAGCTCGACGCATTTGAATCATTCGTCCGCAGTAATACTGATCGAGATCTGAATATAGGTTACCTAGCTTTTTGCTCCACCGCGCAGCATCACACGTTTTGGTATTCACACCAGTTTTTAATTTATGTGATTTAAACATGATAAAATAATAATGACACATTTCCACAAAAATTAAGTGCTGGTTCGGCTTTGGGGATTTAGAATAGCACAAATGATAGGGATTTCATATTTGTTTCATTTATTTTATTTTCCTTGACTTTGCACCAATAGCATTCAGTGGTGCGATGCGAACCACAATTGTTAAGGTAAAACTAGTATCTTACCCTTGCAATGAACGGTTTATGAAATTTGCGGGTGAAAGTTTAGTCAAATTAGAAATCAACAAAATAAACTTATACTCCGTAATTTAATTTAAGATTGGGATGTAGTCTGTAAAGTCAAACAAACAGGGCTCAATATCGCACAATATCTAAAAGAAACTACTAACTTTAGAGTCTAGGTAATACAAAGTCCTCTCTTAGTCCCTTCCAACTTTGTCATTTTTTTTTATTGTCTCATTAACTTTGCTATTTTCCCTTTTAAGTAAAGGAATTATGGTTCCAATTAATTCTCTCTCCTCTGTACAATATTGGCCAAGTTTTAAGGGATGTAGGGAGTAATAAATGAAAAATCTATAGTCAAATATTGAGGTAAATGTGTATATATACAATTTCTTTTTATGGTGTCAAACGGGATTTAAGTTCAAAGTAAGCCATGCTTCATTACATTTGGAAATTACTACTCGGTATATCACAAAAATGTATGACACAATTTTTGGAGAAAGGGTGTCCTCTGTCCACCCCAAGTTACTACAATAAAATTTATTTATTCCACAACATACAACTCGTGGTGAATAAATAAGGGGGTTATAAATTACAAATTTCAGACAAACATTATCCAAACATGCACTCTTAAATAAATTCGAACTAATGAAATAGTTAACCCTTTGTTTCAGAAAGAGATACATTCAAAGAGGAGTTCGAGGAATGATTCTGGAGATTCCAAAATTTTCTCAAATTTAATCCAAATCATTCGACTCTCACTCAATTTGGAGTAAATTTGAGAACATCTCACTATTCCCCTAACCACCCATTGTCTATTCCTGTAAATATCATTGTCCTTTTACTTATCATTATTTGAGAATTGGACAATTTACTGTCGATTATTCTATTTCCTCTATTGCATCTAAGTGTTGGCAAATGAGTTTGGTTGTTCCCCCTGTAAAAATTCTTGGATTTGGTTTAGAGATAAATGGATTGGGAGGTGTGCTCAACTTATCTCCTTCCCCTTCTAACATTTCAAGGGCACTTCTCATGGAAGGCCGATCAACAGGATTCCATTGACTACACCACAACCCCACAATGGCTAGCTTCTTTGCAATTTTAACATCATTCTCTTCTTCAATATCAAACCTTAGGTCTTCTCCTTGCTCTAACACATTATAAATCCACTCAGGGAAATATATTTGATCCTCTGCATGTGATTCAGTGTCAACACATTTCCTTCCACTCACCATCTCTAGTAACAACATTCCGAAACTATAAACATCTGATTTATAGGAAACGTTCCCGAAGTTTCTTGAGAAAACTTCGGGTGCCATGTAGCCTATGGTCCCTCTAGCTGTTGTCATAGAGATGAGGCTTTGTTCCCTTGAAGATAGCTTAGCGAGGCCGAAGTCAGTGATTTTGGGATTGAGATTGTCATCAAGGAGTACATTGTGTGGCTTGATATCGAAATGTAGGATTCTTTCATCACAACCCTGATGGAGATACTCAATACCTTTGGCTACGCCAATAGCAATATGTTCCAAAGATTTCCATCCAAGAAAACGGTTCTTCGAGTCTGGTGAAGAAATGAACTTCTGCAGTGTATCATTCGGAAAGTAATCGCACTACAACAAAATGAAGCTTTTGCAACGCCTATAAAATGTTACATAAAACTGTTAAAATGTTACAAAAGGTTAATGTAACACTTATATGAGCGTTACTTCAGGTCTCGTTGCATAAAGTCTTATGCAACACTTTTTAATATATTTTGCAACATTTTATATAAATGTTGCAAAAATATCCCAAATGCAACACTTTTTTCAATAATTTAACTTGCACCATATGCAACACTTTTTTAAACAAAATGCAACACAAGAAGATGACTTTAGGCAACATCAATCTTTTATTTATGTAACATTTTCGTAATGGGATTTTGCAACATTTATTTATATAATGCAACATTTATAGCAATTTTTTATGCAACACTTTCATAGCGTTTTAGGCAACAGTCTTTATTAGCTTATGTAGCATACAGTTCATATTCGCCATTAATATGCAAATAGGCCAATACCTGTTCTAATATTTTTAAACAATTAATAGATGGCCTTTGAGCTTTATTTTAAATATTATGCAAATCACATAAAATAACATTTCAACATATATTAATATATTAAGGGTATTAAATATTTAACATTGATGAAAGTTTAATTGTATCACGCACTAAAGCAACATCTTAAAAGAATAATTACATCCATATCGATAGGAGTAACCTAAATTTACATTGTAGGAAATGAACTACAAATCCGAAATACATCTTAAAACGCATGTGAGTGAACAAGGATCTAAAAACAATAAATGCCTCCATTATATATGCTTGATTCCTGGATCCTCATCTTCCTAAGGAAGACCGTCATCACTACTACTATGTCCCTGCGAGAGAAATATAAAGATAAAATAAATAACTAAACAGAAAATAAACACATCAGAGTTTAAATAAAATGAATTACGAAAAAAATAAATATAGTGATAATAAAAAATAAATTTTTAAATTTTTTATATAACACACATCAGTAAAGAAGGGACGAATGAACAACTTGTAACTTCCAAGAGTTATCAAGTTAATCATATAACAACTTCAAGTTATTAACGTACATAATTTATCAAGTAATCTAACCAAATCCAAACATCATATATTGTATGAACAGCCTATAAGACCCAGTTAATTAGTTTACTTATGCATCATATAATCCAAAATCCAAACTAATTTTATCAAGTCATATATACCAATATCCTAAATATTGAGTACACGTTTGATATAAGTTTTTATAAATACCTAAGGCCATACCTTTACTTTAAAGTAGTCTAATTTCATTACCTGTGCGATCCCATGAAAATTATACTTGGAATTATGACTCCACAAGTAAACAGTGTATGGAGAATCTAGAAGATGTTTATCTAATTACCGAAAAGATCAAGATGTTTAGAAAAGTTAAAATCTGAAAGAATAAAAAAGTCATACTCCTTATCTATTATCCAAGAAAGTAAAATCTATGTAAGACAATATATGATTGAGTTTTTTTCACCTGAATAAGAAGCTTGACGGTACATGTATTATATTGGCACAAATTTTCACTGAATACAGAAAACCAAAAAGTTAAAAATTGTGCCGCCATTCAAAGACAGCAACCATTTGCAAACTAAACCATGTGTATCGGATAACATTTTCCCAGGTGCAAAAACAAATCTGTTTTTTACAAGGCAAAAAAATATGTCAATCAAAGAGCACACATCAAGCAATGGGAACATTACAAATTACCATCATTTGGGAAAGGTCAATTACTTGTTCTCTAGATGCATATGCACCACTGATTAGCCCATGATTTTTTAGACTTGAAAAGAGAAGCACCAAACTTTTCACCTCACTGTAATTTAAATACAAAAGCAACAAATAGTAAATATTAATCAAAACTCAATAATAGCAAAATGAATACTTAGCACCTGTTAGAATAAGCCTTCTCAGTAGGAGATATAGACATATAGTGATATACAAATGTAAAAGTTATTACATTAGAATAGTTTGTAGCTATGCAACTGACCTGAGATAAAGCATATGGTGCAAGAAGAGATAGATTACCGTATAAAACATTGTTGCTTATGCACGAGCTACGTGAACCATCAATAACTGAAAAAAATGATGAGAGTGAATATATTGAAGAGTGAAGACGCATATACACTCTAATATTACTAATAGAATACTATATATTTCAGAACTAGTGATTATATATTCTAATAGGTTAGGTAAACTAATAAGATGAAAATCTTCATTTTCTCTCCTTCCTCATCCCCGTCCTCATCATTACCCCAGTGCCGCAAAGGCTACCACCTACGGTGGGGTAGGAGGGGTCGGATGTACGCAGTCTTACCCCTGTACTAAAGCACAGAGAGACTGTTACCGAATGACCCATAGTGAAAATCGCGTCGAAAATTGAATAAGCAGACTGTTACTTCATGACAAAGAAGAGCAGACAGTTTAGTGAGTCGTTTTGCTTTATTCCATCATATTCCCAAACAAAAAAATAGTGAGTCTTTGGCTCCATTGAAAATGATGGAAATCATTTTCCCTCCTTGAGAATGAAAAATATTACGGAGTAATATATAGTTGTATAATTATTAGACACGATAGGATGTATATCTTTTTTAATACTACAATATATATCATTAACTTGATTGATTAAGAATGATAAGAAACTTACTTCAGCTCAGCTCCAAGCTAAAAAAAAAGTCATGAACCTTGTTAATAATTCCTTGACCTAAAGAAAGAATCAATTAAAAAAATTAACAGCTTATAATTCATCCATTGGGGTAAAGTCGTACTCCATAATAAAATACAGAAACATAAATCTCTCCTTTTTTGATACATAAACATAAATCTCTCCTAAATCATCTAAAAACAAAAGAAAAACACAAAAGTTTTTTGTTCATACATTTCATCAAACACCTTATTGGCATCATTAATAAAGAAAGGGAGGAAACCAAAACCGAACCTTTAAATTTTCTGAAATCAAACATAATGAACAAATCCACAAAAGAAGTTCTAGGGAAGTAAATCAATTAAAGGAGATCAACAAGTAGCATATAAATCAATGAAGTGGCCACCTAAAATAATCGTATTCGTATATAAACAAAGCCTAGCTTGAAATCAGAATTCTCATCCAGACTTGTATACTAAATCCACAAATAAAGAACGGTTTGGCTTACTGAAACACAGAAGAAATAAACGAATCTGGAGCATACGAATGATTTGCGACGAATAATGTTCATTAGAGATTAGTAAAGGATAGATGACTACATCGCATAGATCTGAAAGAAAAGAAAAAGAAAATAGAAGTTACCTGCGTAAAGGCGGTGTGAGAGTTGTCTGTAATTTCTTTAGCGGCGCGAGGTTTCTTCGAAGATCGGCACACGGCTGGTCGATTATCGTTGCGTTTTCGATTTATCGAGCGTGAGGAGATGGAAGATCGGCACAAGGCTGGTCGATCGATGACGGTGTCGTCTCTGCCGGTAAGCTTCTTCGTCGCCTTTTCGATTCATCGGGCTTCTTTTTGGTGGTTGGACTCCGGAGTGAATAAGAAGTCTTTTTATTTTTAATACTCTATTAAAATGGGGTGCCAGACGCCCAGGCCCTAGGCCAATCAATATGTTGCAAAAATTCAAGCAATTCGTTACAACTTACTAGTACAATATTATACTCCGCATATTAGTTATTGCAACATTTTAATATAAGTGTTACATATTATTAAAATACGTGTAACATTTTATCCTAAGTGTTGCATAAACATATACCTAAAGTGTTTATGCAACATTTATAAATAAGTGTTGCAAAAAATTGAGTTTGAATGAAATATGCAACAAAAAATTAAGTGTTACAAAGAAAGTGTTACAAAAAGTCAATTTTGTTGTAGTGATCGTACACCACAGCCCGTTTAAATCCATCTGCACAAAAACCGATCAAGCGGACTATATTGGCGTGGTGAATTTTCACCAATGTTCCAACTTCATTAATGAATTCCTCTCCATTTGCTTTGGAATCATTGAGGACCTTAACAGCTACTTTAACGTTCTCAGACAGCTTCCCCTTATAAACAGTTCCATGAGCTCCTTTTCCCAATTGGTACTCAAAGAATTGGGAAAAGGAGACAGACAAAGAATGGGCTGAAACCTTTGCTAGAGGGGTCTATGGCTCCGGGTGCCAGCATATGCTCCAACCGATCCTTCCCCTCCTGGAAAAGCATCTGGGTCGCCCATTGCAGATCTCCGATCTTCCAACCGACTTGCATCCAGGCCATATTGCTGCACTAAAATCCCAGCTCGGGAAATGCAGGCATGCTTTGGAGACGGAGATAGTCCAGGCCATAGATGAAGAAGACGAAGATGATGACGATGAAGATGAGGGTGGAGATCACCCCGATCAGTAGATTAGATATTTCCTTTGTATTTTCCTTTTCTCATAGCATAGGTATTTTTTGTAATTTCCGGTCAGTAGAACCAATGAATACACCACTTTTGCTCACCGATTTTTTCGTGTTCACTCCATACTGCCCTTAATATTGGATTTAATCGCTATGTAGATCTTCATTTCCCTGAACAGATGTACGTTATCATGTTCGTGATGATCATTCCTTTAAGACTTAATCATTTATCTGATTTTTCTTCTTTCGTTTGGCACGTAGTTATGTTTTGGATCACTCGCATTTATTTCCCCCGTGTCCCGTTCGGTACATAGCTCTGTTTTAGCAAAGCCTAATGCTTAGGATTTGACCGATCCCTGTTCGGCTGAAGCAATCATTTAGGACTTAGATCTTTCCTTGATCCCTCAGTAATTTAATCAATCATTTCCACCCGTTCGGCCTGACGCTTAACTTATCCAGGAAATTCAATATATAGGACCGATCTTTTCACCACCCTAGCCTCACGTTCGGGATGTTTATTTTTTCCTAACGTTTTCAAAATGTTCCTGCATATTTTTCCCCTTGTAGGACCGATCTTTCCACCACCCTGCCATCAGAAGTTATTCCTGCGAATTCATTTCGCTCAGATTCTTGTATTTTCCCAATCTGCTCAGGGTGTAATCTCTGTTAGTTCCCTTGGAAATTTGTGATCCTGGAATTTGGTTATTTTTCAAATGTGTTTCCTCCCATTCGGCATGTAGTTCTTGTCGGCATAGGTCCCATACTTGGGACAATTTTTCTTCCAATTTCATAACCCCTGTTCGCCGTGTTCATCATGCGCCCGTTCGGGTAACTACCAATAATTCTTGGTAAGTCTCATCATCATTATGTACCTTGTCCTGATCCATTTTCCTGATCCCGTTCGGGATAATTGATCGCAGTGTTTTCCTTCCATCACGTTCTGGGTTATGCCTCTTGTCTCTTACACCGTTCGGGAGTTTGGCCTATAATGATGCCTTAAATTCCTTCAACGGTTTTTGACACGTGTCCGCCAATGATTTGGATTCTGGGTGGCAGCATTTCCCTATATAAAGATGCAGCTGCTTCCCATAAAACTTTCTGCTGCTTCTTAATTCTCTCAAGCTTTCTCTCTCTAGAATTTTTCTTTCCCAGCTTATGTCCACTATTTCCGGCTCCTCAAATTATGAAGAAATGGCACCACTAATCCGTCGCTCCAGGGGAAAAGCTCACCCCAAAGATCAGGGTACGTCCGCTCAATCTTCTGCCTCCAACGGTTCTTCACCTCTTGTTCAGCCCGAACAGTCCCTCATTAATGATGGGTGCCAGTCGGGCGATGACTTGGCCATATACGAAAGGGGGATGCCTGAACGGCCCCCTAGACATAGCTTGAATTTCCACTGTATCCGGAAACAGCGTCAACGTCTTCCCGCGGATGCCGAACAGACGCTCCGCCTGTTATTGCCCCCACCCCGCCAGTTTTATGCGGGTTTCATCAAACACCCGATGATGCACCGTTCGGGATGTGTCCTCGTTCACATGGATGCTTTGATTGCCGGTCTCCGGTTTCCTCTGCATCCCTTCGTAGTAGAGTTCCTTCGCCGAGTATCTGTCTTGCCAGCACAGTGCGTGCCCAGCACCTATCGGATCCTGAGCGGTTTCATTGTTTGGTGCCACGAGATGGGAATTGCTCCCAACGTAGACCTCTTTTTACACTGCTACAGCATCCAGCCGTACTGGACGACCGGGTACCTGCGGCTGGTTGCCCGCCCTGGTCGGGCTCTCTTCACCGATAACCCTTCCCCATCTGAGAAGTGGGAGGAGCGGTTTATCTTTGTCCACGTGGGGTTACCACTTCCATTTCCCGATCGGTGGAATACCTACCCCGCTCAGGATAGGGCACCTGTGTTGGATGCTGCCCTTCTCTGTCAGTATGACCGGTTCTACAGGATGAGCCCTAGGAACGTCCGGTCTATCCTGACCCCTTCCAAGATGCAGTCTGCTGGCATCGGTACAGTTCTTTCCTTTTTAGACCGTTCAATACATTTATCATTTCTTTTGCTAACCCTCCTTTATTCCCTTTTGTAGGTGTGATTCTTCCAGCGTCCACCAAGCGTCCTGTTCCAACCCCTTCTTCTACCGTTCCAGCCGATAAAGGCAAGGGGAAGGATACTCGGCAAGGTTTTTTCTCTGGCCTTGGGTCTGGGCCAGTAAATAAACGCCCGCGGACTGAATCCTCTGGCCAGCTGGTCCCGATCGATCACGTCATTGATTTGACTGATCTGAATCTAGCGGCGATGCATGTTGCCTCCTCTTCCTTCAAACAGTCGGGCTCTCTTGGCAAGAAAGGAGCCTCTGTTCATGATGAGCCCCCGATCCCCGATCGAATGATCATGGAATTTTCCGCCCTGGGCCCCCGTGCCGAAGCCCGGACGCTGTTCGGGCAGACTGCATCCTCCATGTGGTGCAATACTTCCTTGAAAGCCGATGAGGGTTTCACCAACCTGACTCATTGGGCTGATTTGGCTGAAGCAGGCCATTTGGAAAGCATCAAGGTATATATTTGGTCCACTGTTTTGATTGAGCTTTTTATGTTTAATTTTCCTCATATCTGATCTTACTTTTGTTTCTTTCTTTTTCAGGCTGGGAAGTATTACCACCGGGCTTTCCTGGCCGCTGAGCGGGAGATGGTGCATCTCGCTCAGGAACTTGATGAGAGCAAGACCCTCCTGGATGCTGCTCGGAAGATGGCTGCTGATCTTCAAGATCGAGCCAATAAGGGGGATAAGGTCAGGGCTGAATTGGCCGAAATAGAGAAGAGGCTTCGGCGTCACGATCAGGAGATCCGGGCGCTGAAGGATAAGATTGCTGTTGCTGAGGCTGTTGGCTTTAAGTTCAAGAAAGCCCATCCTAAAGAGGGCGAACAACCGTCAGCACCCGTTCAGGCTGATGTTTCTAGAATCACGCAGCAGGCAGTGATTGATTTCCAACGGGGCAAGGGTTTGAACGTTGCTCTGGAGGAGACTGCTCGGGAGTTCCTTGGGAAGCACCTTGGGGAGTTTTTGAAGAAGTGCAAGGATCCCCTTCATGATGGCCACAAGCTTTTGGATGAGACCCCGTCCGGAGCTGCCTTTGCCAATGTTTTCACCAGAGACACCCTGGTCAAGTGTCAAGATATGCTGGTCGATCGGAACCTTGATGTTATCATGGAGCATTTCCCCAAGCCCTTCGATCCCAAAGAGGCCAAGTTCGATGAGCTTTTCTGCCGCGCTTATAAGCGTGTAATGGCAAAAAGGCAGGCAGACCAGGAGGAGCCTGAACAGTCCTCCTCTGAGCACGTTGCATCCCCGACCGACGATCTGCCTGTAGCGTAGTATTCTCTTGTTTTGTGTACAATTCTTTATCAATATTTTTTCATTATTCTATATTTTCCCGGCCAGTAGTGCCGAAGAATAAAGATACCCGTTTCCTCATATTGTTTTGATTGTTCTCTGAGCTAGTATTTTCCTTATATCTTTTTCTTCATGTATAATCCCCGACCAGTAATGCCGAAGAATAAACACCCCAAGGAACGAGTTGAGAAAACACTCCTGCTTCTCTCTAGGAAAGTCACGCACCCTCAAAAGTTCGGACTCTCCCAGCTTGCTCGTTCATTTCCCTGCTCTTTCATCAAATTTTCCACGAATTTAACCTTGTAAATTGATGTTCTCCTAGCTCGGAAATCATTTCTCTTTCACTTCTACCGTTTGGTTTTGAAAGAAACTGATTTTGTAGCGGATATAATCGATTTTGGAAACTCCAGTTCGTAACTTTACTGTTCATTCCCGATTTAGAAAGTTTGCTTGGATCCAACGTCTGACGATTGTTTGTGAAAAGGGAAGCTAGCTTGGGGGTCGCCGGCCTCTGGCGAACCTCCGGCACCTGGTTTCCGACCACCAAGACGCCGCCGTACCGGAGTTAGCAAAGATCCGTTGGGGCGGTGTACTGTTCACACCAAGGGTTGACTTCCACGATTCTTCAAATCCTATCGTTCAAATCCAAATCTGAAGCTTGTTTTGCAGTCATCGGACCAAGGCGAAGCTACCAACACCGGTTCCAGCAAATTTGGGTAAGATTCCGATTTTCCCCAATTTCTTGGACACTGTAGCTAACTCGCATGTCTGTGTGCTTCTTGATTTTTTCCTGAGCTCATTACTTGTCCGTTTGATCTGCTAATTGTGTTGTTGTGTTCGCTATTATTCGGGGAACATAGTGTAATTTTTTCGGAATTTTCTGGGAAGTTACAATTTTCGTGGGTACTGTTCATCTCTCCTTGGAACTGCCTGCTACAGTAATTCCTGCGCACCATTGACTAGTTAGGAATTTTTTCTGGATTCCATACTTGTCCATTGGCGTTAAGGTTTATACCGTTGTGTTCCTAACTTCAAGGGGGTTGTGCGAGAGTATTTTCAAATTTTTTGGAGTTGGTTTGGGCTAGTAGTCTCTGCCTTCTTTGCTACTGCTCGTTTCTTGTGTATGTGTATGTGGTGTTACTAACTTTTCAGGCACATACAAGCTTTGGATCTGGGTTATGTTGTGCAAACTCTCCCAATGACAAAGAACAACAAGAAGAACCGTACTCCCCCTCCAAAGGATGATTCTTTTGATGCGAAGATCAAGATGCTCAATGAAAAGAGGAAGGAGCTTGAGGAAAAAAAGAAGAGTGGAGAACAAGGTGTTGTCCCTTATATCCCCAAAATTGCTCCAAGTCTTACTATCAATCCTCCACACTCCAATGTGGAATCTTCAAAAGAAATTACCTTTGAGAAGCAAACTGCCTCATCAACCGGAGTCTCTCCAAATGATAATGCTATTCAAAAAAAGGATGGCTTGGCGGAGGATGAGTCCGAGACCCTTGGATCCATTGATACCTATTCGGAGGCTAGCCATGATGCTACTTCTAAGGAAGAGAAAAATGAAAAAAAGGGATGGGCCAATTTGTTCCAAAACAATCGGTCCTTATCCCATGGCATGAAGCTTGAATTTATCCCACCTAAGGGAGATGTTGTTGATTTCTCAAACCGGAAGGTGCCCTCCATTATTGACATATGGGGATATTGTTTGGTGGGAATCTTCACCGGGAGATTTCCCGGTATCAAAGCGGTGCTTGATCTCATAAAAAAATGGGGCGTTCCATGCAAATTGAAACAACATGACAAAGGATGGACCATCTTCCAATTTAAAAATGAGGAGGACCGAACTAAAGTCATCTCCGAAGGGCCCTACTCATCCTATGGTAAGGCTCTATTTCTAAAAGTTTTATCCGATGACTTTGAAGTTGATGATGAGGAATTTCTCAAAGTTCCAATTTGGATTAAACTACCCGGGCTCTCGGTCACACTATGGAACAAAGAGGAGATAAGTGAGCTTGCTTCACGTGTTGGGGTACCAATTGTGGCGGATCAAGTTACACTTAACAAAACAAGGCCCAACTTTGCTAGGGTGCTTGTGGAGGTAGACGTGTCTAAACCTCCGGTTCTTGAAATACCAATGATTCAACCATCCGGGAAAAAGAGGACACAATTCGTGACTTATGAAGCATATCCCAATTTTTGCTATGAATGCAAAAAGTATGGGCATGATCCTTTCAAATGCAAGGTGCTTCATCCGGAACTTAAAGAAGTGGAGAAAGAAGAGGTGACTACTTTCAAGAATATTCCAAGAGAACAAGATCATCCTAAGAAGATTACTAATGGTGAACCCGAGGAGATTTCTTTCCAATTGGTGGTGCCAAAGAAGGGTAAAAGTCACGCATCATCTACAACAACAAAGAAGAACCCGGTTGCCACCATATCAAAGGAACCGGCTGCCCCCTTTGTGCCAAAGAAGAATTCCGGGAAGGAGTTTGTTTGGAGGGGAAGGAGAGTCAAAAGTGTACACCAAATGCAACCGGATGATATTGTTGTTGACTTTGTGACCGAAGAGGATGGAGCACGATTTGCGTTTGTTAAGAAACAACACCAAATCAAAGGGAATGTCCCCGTTGCAAGGCTTGATGTTCATACACTAAAGGAGGCTCAAAAGGAATCACCGGCTATCTTGTTCGCGGACCTGTGCTTGGTGGCCCTCCCGGGTGTAAAGCGTGCCAAAAAATGGTATAATTTTAATAAAGAAATTTTTATTCCTAACATTGCGTCTTTCTTTGATTTTGAAGCTAGCCAAAATGTTGAGTACGCACGTGCAAGGGACCAAGCACTTGAAGTGGAGGCAAAGATTAGTGCGGAAAGGCAAGCCAAGACTAGGGCCGCGGCTCTAAGGCGTGACCCGGTTTATGTCAGGAAGAAACCGTACAAGGATTGGGGGGAGCATCTAGTGCATAATGTGTATGAACTAGATGAGGAAGATGTGATCACTAGTATGGAATTTGATGAGAATGGCCATAGAACCGTGTATGCAGGGAAAAGGGAACTTCTCCCCTTTAGTATGCCAATATACCGAGTTGGTCCAGATTTCAAAGAAGCCAAGCTAGAAGACCCCGGCATGACCTTCACTCTTGACTGCCTACGCGAACTCCCAGGAGTAAAGCGTAAAGGATCATGGTATTCTTTTGACACTTCCATTTTTATTCCTAAGGTTGTGGCTTTTTTTGATGATAACAGTGAAGAGAATGTGGAGATTCGAAAAAGAATGAAGGAAGAGAAAAGAAAAGGAAAAGGGAAAGTGGAAGAGGAGGAATCGGAGGAAGAACGCACCTCCAATCCCGATGATTTTTGATGATTGAAGCCGCCTCGTGGAATGTGAGAGGTTTGAAAAAACCCTCCAAACACTCTACTATATCGAATTTTATTAAGTCAAATAATGTGAGTTTATGTGGTTTCTTAGAAACAAAAATGACAAAAAATAATATCTCTAACTACGTGACTAATAAATGGCCGGGATGGCTTTTTGAAACTAACCATGATTTTATTGAGGGGGGTCGGATTCTAGTCTTTTGGAACCCTAATTTCATTTCTTGTACCTTGATTGAAATGGGAGAACAATACATGCACTTTAAATGCTTATGCCGAACGTCACAAACTGTGTTCTATGCTACATTTGTTTACTCCCTTTATACAGTTTTGAGGCGAAGGGCTTTGTGGGAGCACCTAGCGATACTTGGGGACCAAATTAGGGACCCTTGGTTTATTGCGGGGGATTTTAATTGTGTTTGCTCTCCCAATGAGAGGCTAGGGTCTGCCACCCCCTCGAATTATGTATTAAAAGACCTACTTGATTTTAAGGTCAGGGCTAGCCTACAAGATGCCCCCTCCACGGGAGAATTCTTTACGTGGAATAAGGG